AAGTTCCTGGAAAGGGCGGTGGAATGGCTCGGAATAGAGAACAGAAAATATATATTGTTAATTATTGTTATATATATATATATGTATTGAATCTATTCCATGCCAACTCACACGAGTGGTGTTTGGGTCTTAAGATTTGCTCGATACTTTTGGGGCATAGATCATTTGAGACGCTCCTCAACACTCCAGGACTTTGTTGGGATCCCATCGCACCCCCGAGATCTGAAGGTATTGCTGGCATCACGCGTCTCAGAACTGGTATTGCTTTGATGATGCGAGGGTTCGGAACCTTGGAGTGAACCTATACATAGAACAAACACAAGGAAACACCGAGGAAGGGTAAAGGCAGGTCCAAGGCCAAGCCCTTTCGAAAACAGCAGACCTCACAGAAACTCCAACTCAATGGAAGACCTCTGAGACAGTTCCAAGATGTTTCAAGCTATATATATATGTTAGAGGCAAGAAACTCTGGTCAAACAAATGCAACACATTTTGTCGTGGCGAAGAAATCCACTGATTGTCGGCTTCGGATTCGAACGTGGCCAGGAAAGTGGATTCAGCGGACTTAGCACGTGAAGCTTTAAACGAAGGAGCTTATGTCGCATGCCAGATTGGTCGCCAGTGGAGCCAGGGACAGGAAGGAGCCATACATCATGTTGTTCAAGATGATTCGGCATTCTCCACCTCCAGTGCCAGAAAAATCTGGGAGCATAGCCAAGGAAGGAGAGGAAATGGTATCATGGGGGTTCCGGCAGTGTCCTGCAGAATGGTGGCACGCCTTTGATATTGAAGAAACTTTCCCTCGTGATACAATTTTGAAGTGCACAAGCTCCTTTGGCGATCGGACTGTTTTCCTCTTTGGACCTGGACCTGCTCAGCTGGTGCTAGCGAAAAGGATCCCAGAATCCCTTACCAGAAATCCTTGAGGCCCTTGAGATTGTCTCCTTAGAAGGGACTGCGCTGAATGGGATGAATCCTTTGAAGGGCACTTGTGGATGCCACCGTTCTTCCACACGTATTGGTCGGATCAGATGGGTCGGAGTTCGCCACCATTGGACCAAGTCCTAGACACCAAGAGTGGTGGACACGAAGACCACCGGATACGACGTCCGGCCAGGTGCTTTTCCTGGAGCGAGTCCAGGCTTCGAGCGGATGAGGCACGGACCAGTGTCGAACGGACCTTCCACTGCTCGACGTCGGTGCAAGGCTTCGGTGGACGTCGGGGGGGATGGAAGGTTTGGGGACAGCACCCGAAAGCATCCTGCGAAAGCAGCATCGATATGCGTCGATGATTACTATATATATATATATAATTGTATATATAAAGTACCGCATTGTCTTGGGCAGCTGGGCATGACGCAAGGACAGTTGGCCAGTGCTTCATTTCCTGGAGGGATCACCTGCAAAACTGCTTCTTTGCGAAGACGGATTTCCCCATGATCTTCCGAAACTCCACTCCGAACAGATGCAACGACCAGGTGAACCGGCAGATTCTTTGGTTGAGGGGCCCCTCAACTGAGCACATGTGGCACAGGAGTCGGTTCTACATCGCCTGCTCGACTGCTCCCTCGTGAGGCCGATGGAGAGTTGCAGCGGTCCATGGAGAAAAAGGATCCTGAAAAGAGAGGGACAGCAGCGAAGTCATGGTTGTATTGACTGGTGGGCAAGGTTGGGTGAACCCAAATGCACTGGAACTAACCCAGCTTCAAGGGCAGTAGAGTCAGCCGAGCATTGTACAAGTTGTTTGGATCAAGCAAGTGGTACCTGGTATGGGCCTGGGGTCACAGGCGAACTACCAACCAGAGTATCGGAGGGTAGGATGTTTGAGCCGTATGTATACATGCCAAGCAGCATTATTTGCACAGCTAGCTTTTACCTAGCTCGAATTCTATCCAATGCGAACATTTGGGCCGATGTGTGCTACCCCGAGTGCTTGAACATAGAGGCACAGAGGGAGTTGTGCCCGCATGGCAGCCAATGTTTTTGAAGGAGGAAGGAATGTTTTCCCGGCAAAGGCTTGCTAGTTTGAAGAGCCACTGGGAACTAGACAAGACAGTTCTAGGAAGTTCTAGGACATGGATCTTCCTTGGCCCCCTGTTTCCAGATGGCTTGACCATGCCTGACCTTCACTGGATTCGCTGCGCGTCTCAAGGTCCGCTTGGAACAAGCACGGCCGACGCCCAGCGCCAGTTGCCCTGCTTGCGTGACCTGGTGAGCAGGATCCGCTTGGGGTGCAGGATGGAGGGTTATCCCCAAGCAGCCATTGATTGTTTGTCTCCCTGGCACGCATCGACACACAGATTCGGCACCCGGATTCCAATCGCCCAGGCGGAGAAGAAAGGAGATGATCTTGGGGGTGGAGCCAGCGCCATAGTTGGCGGGGCTTCTTGGCATGAACTCATCACGAAAGCTAGCACCAGCTAGCTGGAGTTGTCCTTGCTTTAGCAAGTGAGGGGCTGGAATCCTCGGGATCGCCGCATCACGTGAAAACTTCATATGTAGGGGGGGCCCCCCCCCCGTGGGTTCAACTCCCCCCTCGGACGCCTCTGGGACACCTCTCGGGCATCTCTTATGGCATCCACTTTGGCTTAACTCCTCCGGGATACGGTGCAACAGATTCAACAAGCTCACATGTTCATGACATCGACATCGATAGAAGAAACCAAACAAATCATGCAAGCAGCTTTGTTTTGCCTCTGGGACACCTCTTGGGCACCTTTTATGGCATCACTGGTTCAACTCCTCCGTGGAGGTTTTGGGATACGGTGCAACAGATTCAACAAGCTCACAGGTTCGTGAACACATCGGATGCATCGAACAGTGTGGCAAAGTCCAGCCACGCTTCCTTAATTGTCGGGGACTTCAATTCGAAGGTTGGCTGTGTCATTGCTGTTTGTGTGTCTTACATGTTCACAACGTTTTACCTCATGAGCATTTGCCTCACTCCGCTTGATGTCCCACCAGTCCGGATGCACCCCTGCTAGCTTTCGTCACCTACCCTCGGCCTCAAGTTGTATTGACGTGCAGGGCATCCATGGGCATCCATAACATGATGACACCCCCCAACATGCTGGCATGGGAGTTTATGCATGAGCCTGGCTCTCAATGTATAATAAATATACAGCACGGATGCAGATCAGATCGCCTCAACTTGAGTAGAGGGACCTAATAATAAGCACTTTGATGGCCCTCCTGCATCTTCCTGCACATTCCTGGATACCACCGGCACAACTGAGTAACTATAGAGACCTCGTGCCAGGTTGCATCTTTTTTGCTCCGACCAACATTTGGTGACTCGTTCTTCATTGTCTAAATCACTTCCAACCACCAGCAAGTCTCCACTTGAAGGGTCCTTTGTGACTCGACGCTTTCGCCCAGCCATCACTCGGGTCGCCGCGTGGGTCCGACGACGCCATCACCGAGGCGCACTACCCCACGCTCCTGCGGCCTCGCTCTGCTGGGCGCGAGTTCTCGCTCCTGGCCACGGCCTACGCGCCACGGCGCGAAGATGGAAGGCTCAGGTGACCCAGGTGGCGGCAAAGCCTGCATTGTCTTCGGTGCAGGTGCCCATTCAACAATAGGATGATTTCTGCGTTTTTTTGTTGAAACTTGTCCAACAACAAGGTCATCTACTGATCACCGGTCTCGCAGGAATGGTGGACCTACAGACACTAAAACCAATCATAAGCACAGCTGCTCACGTCCTTCAACACGCTAGGTGTGTTCTTCGCTCTTTCCGAGGACATGACTGTGGGGCATCAGCTGATCAGCGAGGGCCGTTGGATGCAACCAGAGGTTGACCTGCTTCAGGTGGGACCGAAGGACTCGGTCAGGACTTGAAGCGTACAGGTGGGCGTTTTCCCACCCCCAGCTAAGGGTCTCAGTAGGTTAGGAGAAAGACTGATGAGCGAGATGAGTCATACAAGATATAAATATATACGTATAAGCACAATTATATACTGACAAGACGATGTAGATAACTATCGATGACCCATGATGACTGTTGCTTCCATCTTCACACCCGGACGTCCCGGTACATCGTCGTGCGGCACCTCGCAGAGCCCAGGCCTTTCTCCCACTCGGCGGGGTGGCAGTGGACGCCGGTGCCACTTGGCACACCTGGACGGCCCAGTGTTGTGCTCGCCGATGCGTTTCACAGCGGTCTGCACAGCCTTAAGATTCCGGCCCCCGACTCGTTGCCAAGAGATTGATTTGGCATCTAAAAGTCCAAGGTGCCACGCTATACATATTTCCTGTACATTGTAACATAATGCAATTTAATAGAGTATAATAAATAAATATAATATATATATATATGTTTTGCTTTTTCCTTTTGAACTACTCGCGGGTGATGCAGAGGAGCAAGCACGGTCCAATAGAAAGTGGTCAAACCACAGCCGCATCCCTAGAATTCTACCACCTTCATCCACCTTCCATCCCATGATCTCATCGCATGCCTTCCCTGCACAACATTTCGGAAAGGGATGGAAATGGGAATCAGGAACATCAACTAAGTGAGTGGCAGGATCCTCCCTCCCCTGCCACAGCATACCATGCTTTTGGAAGCGGTCACCGTTAGGCCACCAGTTCGACCCCGATCAACCTTTGATTGGTGCATCCCTCTTTGTCTAAGGGCGGTGTAAGCATGTTTGTTTCTCGTCCAGTTTTCGGACCTCCCATCTTGCACCGCATGACTCGGCGGCAGAGGGATGTTCTGATGGACGGTCCAGAATCATTCTCGGTCCGTACATGTCCACTAAAAGCTTGATTGATACAGGTTGGTAGGTGATGGTCGGTGCCCTAGTTCAATGCCTAGTTGCAGCTGATTTGCCCTGCTGAATTTGACGATGGATTTGTTCGCAGCTGCATCAAAGCAGAAGACCTGCAAGCATGGCAGTATCATGAGGTCATGAGGCGGACTGAACTGAAGGGCCGCTAGCAGCGTTATTTGCACAGCATCGCAGAGATACATAAGTCTACAATTAGTACTGACATATTGATATACTATATATAACTATATATATATACCTGATTGATGGATAGAAGCAATACTAACTTCGTGTCCAAACGAAGGTTATTTTTGCTTGCACGAAACTCTACAGACTTGTGTGTCAAGCCACCATTTCCCTTCACCTCCGATATTCCAGAATCGGATGAGGGAACTGTTGAGGGTCTGAAAACAGTCTTCATGGCTTCAAAGGGTGGGCCGGAAGGATTTGAGCAATGTACGTACTGTAGTACATTGTGAGTTTTTATGAGAGGAATTGAACCAATTTGAGCAATGTACATTGCACTTTGTTTGCAACCATGAGCAGGGTTAGCAAGTTGCTGTGTGGGGGGTGTTGCCCCCAACGAAAGACAAGCCCAAAAGAAATCCTTCACATCTCAAGCCTCAGTGGAACATCTTCACCGAACCAACTCTTGTTTGACGAATGTGTTGCTTCCGGCCCCGAAGGCGGGCAACAGCTACCGACCGGCCATCATGGGCCAAATTACTTACTTTCACAACACCCCGGTGTGGGGGGTACCACTTCGACTCCCGCTCAACTGGCCGCCATGGGTGGGACGAGTGGACTCGCGGCGGCTCTTGACTCCGGCCATGGAGTGGTTTGGCCCAGCACCCCTTTTCGCAGAGCCCAAGCGACGGGAGGGCCCACGCCTGAGCCGCAAATCTGCGGAAGAGCAGCTTGGCTGGCATCAAAGCAACAAAACATCCTACGTAAGATTATGTAAGCCATTTTCCTTACTTGCTTGGCAGGATGTTAAGGAAGACCCATAGATTCGGTGATTCCCAAACCTATCAGCTCAGAATCATGGGGCTCTTTGGGGGTTTCTTCGTGGTCGTGTGAGGTTGGAGATCGAAGAAGCTCGCAATCGACAGAAAGAGCTGCAAGAGATCATTGTGACGGCTGAGAATGTGTGATGCCCCAGTGAAGAAAAGGGACATGTTACGAGTGATTGGTTGGTGAAGATGTAGCAGCCCGGGTTCGATGCATGTTTCAGTCTCATGAAATTGAGTGCTACACTGCATTTGGAAGACTCGGGCGTTCAAGGCTAAGTCGTGCTTAGCTTTGGCTGCAAAGGTTCGCATTGTGCGACACACATCGTCCCGATGTCAGGAGTGGAAGAAGTTTCCACAGAGCCGAACCTCAAAAGAAAAGATACGTGTGGTAATTACCTATATATGGCTGTGTGTCAAAACCCGGAGCCCGAGACCCTGTTAGGTTGAGGCACTTTGTTCGGCTATATTCTGTTCATGTTGGGAGTCAAACCAGGGGACTAGGGTAAATTGCAACAGTAATCAGGGTATTTCCAGACAGTTATGTTGTATGGTGTTTTTCCAAGCTGTGACCGGTGTTTTTTGCGTCAGTGACCGCCACCCGGTGTTTTTTGCGACGGTTGCCCGGTGTTTTTTGCAACGGTTGACCGGTGTTTTCTGCGACAGCTTGTTTGACCGGTGTTTTCTGCGACAGCTTCTTTCCGGCGCCGTATGCAAGAGCTGATGCGAGCGCTGCTTTGGGGAGGGCACAGCGCCTCTCCCCCGAAGCCGCAAGCAGGCTCACCGCATCTCACAAGTCGAGCTTCCTTCTCAGCATGGACATCTAGCAGTTTTCCAATGCCTGCTACAACCAAGATGTCTACGGCGCGACAACAGAGTGCGGTGCCGTGCCCAATGTGCTGCGACATAGCCTGCCGGCGGGAGGCTTCAGCAGCAAGCAGCAGTCCAACATATAAGCCTTCAACATAAGCCTTCACCATTCACGTCTTGCAGTTTTCCAGCGCGTCTGCTTGCCTGCTTTACAACAAACGACAAGCGCCCATGCGCATGACTTGCTTGCGCCATAGCTTCCTGGAAGCCGCGGTCCAAGCGCGGGCGGGGGGG